TTGGGGGTTTGTTGAGGCCTGTGACTAAGGGTGCTTAAAAAATCGACCAACTCGGTCAATCCAACCCAAAAAAACCTAAAAAAGGTCAACTCAATGTAACCTGACACAAAATTGATGCAAATTAGGTTAAACCATATTTATTGGGTTAGAGTTTGGTTCGGTATTTTGAACTCAACCCAACTCGATGAAGCCGATGTCTTTCTATACTACAGTTTTAATATGATTTAAGTCCGTGATTAACATTATAAGTTAGACATTATACCGACCCGTAATTAGCTGTATTCAAAATTAATTGAAATTTCAACCATGATTTTAGTTTCTTATTTGCAAGAACTTTCAGTTTTGTTTTGAGTTTATTAGCGGTTTTTGTATATATTCATATTTTGCTTTTATTTCGTTTAAACAAAATGCTTAGCTATATTGTAAAATAATATAACAAAATTTCAATCCGATCAACCCGACCAACCCAACCCAACCCACACGGTTTGGGTTGGGTTGGGTTGAAGTTTTGCTTGAATTGGGTTAAGATTTTTCAAACTGCAAACATTAGGTTGAGTGTTTAAATACGTTCAACCCAAAAACAACCCAACCAACCCAACCCATCCCATGTACACCGGCCTGTGCCCCTACGCCTTTGTTATACACCCACCACTAGCCTGAATACGTACTAGTGTGACAAGATATCAATTATATGCAAATTTCACTAATGGGTTAGTGAAAAAACTAGTGGTCCAACAAATAAAAGGCAATACCAAAAGCAATGGATTAGCCCAACTAGCATGGTCCTACAAGCCACAAGGCTACAAGTCAAGGGTTAAAACAATGGGTTAGCTCAATTAATATGGGTTCAACTTGGTTAAACTGGGTTCAACATGGGCTGCTATTGAGACCATCTTGGCTCGGAACCGATTGTGATCGTTAGGGACCGGTTATGTAGACCGATTTTTCAAAAAAAAAAAATAATAATTAAAGTTTTTATAAATTATAATACAAGTTTTTCACAATTTTATCGCTATTTCTTTGCAAAATTGTGCTCGATTTCATATGTGACAATTCCGCCAAGATCTCTTCATTAGTTGGGGGAAGAATCCACCCGAATCGGATTTTTTGAAGAACGTATCGATCGAGAGAGAATTTGATTTGGTTAGACAATATGTGGTCGGTAAACAATGATCAGTTTTTTCACAAGGTACGGAATGTAAACTTAAAGGTATTATATTAAGTGTATTTCAATAATAAATTTCAAAAATCGAAACTACAAGAACACGTGCAACTTTTTTGGGCCGGTTACAGGATCTAGCTTGATCCTAAGATTTTCGGTCGGGACGAGGACCGATTGGCCTGATTCTAAATGAACTGATCTAGGACCGATTTTTGACCATCTCTAAGTTCAACAAATAGAGGATAAATAGCAAAGTATAAACACAAATAATAAAAGATAAATTACGGATTTGGTGCTTCTGGTATTCGGAATTTTATAAAAATGGTCTTTAGACTTCATTTGTTACGTAAAGTACGGGGTTGTATGCAATTTTACACGAATTCGGTTCGTGTATCAAACGTCTGTTTATCCTTCCTATTAACTTTGGGGGTAAAGTGGTCGTTTTACTATTTCTAAATTTTGGCTAAATTCGTTTTCTTGAAATTCGGTTCCTCCAATCGTTTCATCCCATTTGGTTCCTCCAAATCGGCTCCTACTCCAATGAATCAAACTCAAGTAAGGAGCCGTTTACCAAACGCTTACTCGGGTAAGTGAACACCAAGTCATTTTACTTTACTGGATGAATATGGTAAGGATCAAGAATCTTGCTTGGTAAGAGCGAGACAAAGAACCAAGAATATTACCCGGTAAGTGAAGGCGATGACTCTTATCACGGTAAGCGCTTACCGGGTAAATTGTTGCATACGATACCATGTTGATGGACTAAAATCTTATCCGATAAGTAAATGATAATGTTAAATTTACCGGTAAGCACTTACTGGCTAAGTGTTTGGTAAACGTCCCCTAAATTTTTTTATTTTGTTTTTATGTATTTTTATTCTCAATTCTCATTCCATAATCTCATGATACTACGATTTTAAATACCAATTCTTTTTTTGATTTATTTTAAATATTAAAACGAGATTAATGTTATTTTATTTATTTATTTTGTTACGAGTTTTTTTTATTAATGTTATTTATTTATTACGATTTATTCTAAAAAATAAAATGATTTTAACGCATATTTTATGTGGGTTTTGTGTAGGGAAATAATACATTTGTTGAGGAAACCCCTTATGTGGTAGTCGACAATGATAAACAAGAGAATGTGGAACAAAGTGGTAAGCGAAAATGAGCAAACAAAGTTTGTAATCACTGCAACAAAATTGGGTTTATAGGACAACCACAATCTCTAAGTGTCCCAATAGACCATTTTATAGGACTTAATTTATAGGAACAAAATATAAAGCGTTTGATCTAAAGGTGTTGTAATAAGTTTATATGACATTTTTGGGCATCTTAACAAGTTTTTTAGGACATTTTTAATATAAAGTGGCGCATTAGCAACTTTATAGAACACTTTCTATAAACTTAATTTTTTTATAGGGCACTTGTTTTTATAGGACAATTTTTCAAATAGTGTCCTATACAGTTGATAATGAGACGCTTTATGTTATAAGTGTCCTATAAAACTTATTAATTACGACGTCAAAAAAGGTCACATAAACTTATTACAACACTTTTAAATATGACACTTTATTTTTTTGGTTCTATAAACTAAATCTTATAAAGAAGTTTATTAAGACACTTAGAATTTGGGAATGTCCTATAAACCCGATTTTGTTGTAGTGTGATGAGGTAGAATAAAAAATGTTTTATTAAATTGGTTTGTTGTAGGTGAATTGTCTTTTAAATATGTGGAAAATGAGGTATTTGTTGAATACACGGATGCTTTAAACAGAAGATTTAATTCGTCATCACGTCACAAAGTCTCTAAGGATGTTGCAAAGTATTTTATAAACGAAAGGAATAAGTTGTGGGCTTATTTAAGTAAACCAACAAATACCGTTCACTTGACTACAGATACTTGGACATCATCTGGTCAAAGGGTGAACTACATGGTTGTCACGACTCATTTCATAGATGACGATTGTGTAATGCGTAAACGGATTATTTAACTTTAGACCCGTTGATAGTCATAGGGGGGATGATGTGGGTCGTGAATTGCTAGATTGCGTACATGGTTGGGGGATAGAAAACGTTATGGTAATGATAAAGCGCTAGAGCATTTGTTTAATGGCTCGGTCAATGCGAGAAAGATACGACAAGTACTGGCGGAAGTTTGACAAGTTGAATGACCTTATGCACTCCAAACAGAGCTTGGATAGCAAGAACATCACTAAGCTTAAAGTCCGATATTTTCACTACTTACCGACCTATGAACTGAAATACCAAAGTCGTGATTCGACCATAAACGGCTCGACCAACAAATTTTGACTTCCGAGCTCTTTCATTACCCTTACTATGATGTCCTCTGAAATAAGGGTTAGACTCAAAAGTCCAACGAGTTCATAGCATTCATGCATGCTGAACACAGTAATAAAAACCGTTTTGCAATTTTCTTAAATGAATATTCCTTACATGAGGGTTCTCGCTACCATCATTATGATTCTCGAGGATTGAGTTTCCGCCAACGTAAAACATTTATAGCTTAAGACTTTTAACTCATCACACGAATCACCACTCCCACTAATTTAAGTCTAGGTATCTACATCGACACCTCAATCTCTTGAACTAAGGCTATGATACCATTTGTAACCTCCTCAATCAGACGAGTTTTAAAAATGTAAGTCTAGGAGTGCAGACAAAACGGAAAATATCTGGTACAGTTAGCCTAAGATGTTACAGATAGTATCAGGACCGGGAACTGGGACTGGTGTGACAGCGAGGATGCTGAGCTCCCAAGGGCGTGGATTGTAAGATACCGCGTTGGTTGGGGAAGGGAACAAAGGTTGCCTTATAAGAGGATTGACACCTCCTCCATCAAAAGCGTAACAAGAATTAGAATGAAGCAATACGATTTAATTAATTAACTACATGACGATTCCAAGATTTATAATTAGATGATCGTAACGGTAACATCAAATTAACTTTCAATTGACGTTGGTCATGAATAATTAAAACGTAGGGACAAATTAGTAATTAACCACAAGTTATCGGGTCAAAATCGTAATACGAATACCATGTATTAGGGCTGTAAACGAACCGAACGAACACGAACGGAGGCTTGTTCATATTCGTTCGTTTAACTTAACCGAACAAACGCACGAACACGAACGAAAATTTTTGTGTTCGTGTTCGTTCGTTTAGAAATAAGGTTTGTTTTTATGTTCGTTCGTTAATATGCTAAACGAACGAACATAAACGAACGGATTAAACGAACAGATTAAACGAACATAGATAAATATTATTTGAATTCAAAGTAAATAAATAAAAGATTATATATTAAATTTAATATATAAACGAATATTCATGAACGGTAAATGAACGAACGTCACGAACATAAATAAACGAACGAGACTCATGTTCGTTCGTTTAACTAAACGAACAAAAAAAAATTGTTCATGTTTGTTCATTTATTAAATAAACGAACATAAACGAACTTCCTACTGAACGGTTCATGAACGGTTCAATGAACGTTCGGTTCGTTTACAACCTATGTACGATAAATATCGTAAATCGCCAAAGACCATATAACATATATTTGTAACAGAAAGTAATAATAATTGGTGCAAATATTGCTCCCAAGAGATAAACAAAAACATCACAAAGGGTCAAGAATTCTATCCAAAATGGATAATAAACCTACGTGGCATCACCATATTGGTCGATCCTAACCCTGCAAATCCCATCAGCCAATCATCGTAGAGTCTAAAACCAAGAAAAATATAGCAGAAAAAAACAAGAACCCTTTTTACAGTCATCATCAACATCCATATTTCTGAACTCCATTGATCGATATTTGTCATCAAGATAAGAGAAGGAGATCAGTGGCAGAGAGAGATAGAAGTGGGAAAGCAGCCATGGCTACATGCAACATGGCATCAGCAGCTGGTTTTGTGCCTGTTTTTCATTCAAACACAGCTGCATCATCTTCAAAACCAGCTTCTGTCTCCTTCTTGACCTTCAATAATCGTGGTTTGAGACGACAGTTGGTCGTACGGGCATCGGAAGAACCCGCCGCACCCCCTGAGGCAGCAACCACCACCACCACCACTGATGCACCACCGGAAGACGGTGCTGCCAAGGATGCTGTCAAGGCTGCTAAGCCACCACCAATCGGTCCCAAGAGGGGTACCAAGGTAAAACCCTAAGTTTCTTCTTGAATTTATATGTTTTTTTTTTAAGGTAAGTGGAACTTAATCAGATTACTCTCTATAAGGTCTTAATAGAAAAAAGACATGTTCTCGGGGTCATTGAAGAGACCGACGATCACTGCACCGCTCACTACAACAAAATTGGTTTTATAGGACACCCACAATCTCTAAGTGTCCCAATAGACCGCTTTATAGGACACTTCCAATCTCTAGGTGTCTCAATAGACCGCTTTATAGGACTTAATTTATAGGAACAAAATATAAAACGTCCTATCTAAAGGCGTTGTAATAAGTTTATATGACGCTTTTGGGCGTCTTAATAAATTTTGGAGGACATTTTTAATAAAAGTGTCACATTAACAACTTTATAGGACACTTTTGAGAAATTGTCCTATAAACTCAATTTTTTATAGGACATTTGCTTTTATAGGACAGTTTTTTAAAAAGTGTCCTATAAAGTTGATAATGAGATGTTTTATATTAAAAGTGTCCTGAAAAACTTATTACGACGTCAAAGAACGTCATATAAACTTAATACAACACCTTTAGATAGGACACTTCATTTCTTTGGTCCTATAAATTAAGTCATATAAAGAGGTCTATTAGAACGTTTAGAATTTAGGAGTGTCCTATAAACTCGATTTTGTTGTAGTAGCTTAAATATAAACCTCAACCATCGCTCTTATTCACCACTTAGGTTTTACCAAACAAGCAATATTACTGATTCTGATTTTAACATATTTTTTATCAATAAGAAATGAAATAAGATTTCGTACTTCATAGCATTAAGATTATCAATCAAACATGATGCAGGTGAGGATTCTACGAAAGGAGTCGTATTGGTATAAAGGCGTTGGCTCAGTCGTAACCGTTGATCAGGTTGGTTAATTCTCTCGTCTAATTTGAACATAAATACATGCACTTGCACAATAGATCGATACATATCGGTTCATTAAGTAAATATCGTTTACTATGAATATAGGATCCGAAGACACGTTACCCTGTCGTGGTTCGATTCAACAAAGTCAACTACGCAAATGTATCGACAAATAACTATGCACTAGATGAGATCGAAGAAGTTGCATGAGAATTACATACAATCGATGTCGTTATGCCAATGTGTATAGTACTTGATTTGCAACATATTTTCTTCCCTAAACACGATTATGTAAATCAATTTTATTGGAAGAAAAGTATGAATGTGCATACTCCCTACTAGGGGTGCTCATGGGTTGCTTTGATCGGGTTGAAGACATTTGAACAACCCAAGCCAATTCTTGCGGTTTGAAAAATCTTATTAACCTAACCCAACCCGAACCAAAGTGCAACCCAACCCTACCCAACCCGTACGGGTTGGTCGGGTTGATACTTTGGTACATTAAAATATTTTTCTAACCTAGAATATGTTATTTCTCTACTCATAATTTCTTTTTCATAATCAACCATTTGATACAACTTATCCATACTTCTTACGTATATCACATTCAGTTAAGTTTCTCAATTCACATATATATGTTCATATTTACTGAACATATATACGAATGAGTTATATAAAGATGTGAATAGTTTGAAAATATGTGTATATGAAGAGCATACATGATAATGTAATTGTCTAATGTACATATTAATAGAAATTCAAGAATCATATTAAATCCAAGAAATAAAAGGATATCGGGTTCATCGGGTTGGGTTGGGTTCAAATAATAGTAACCCGATATCAACCCAATTCCTATGGTTTGACAATTTTACAACTCGATTAGACATCGGGTTGTTTCAGGTTGAGTTATTTCGTGTTGGGTTGGGTTGGGTTGTGTTGGTCGGATTTTTGAGCACCCCTACTCCCTACTACAAAAAGGGGTATTTTTATAACCCCAATAATTTTACATGTAAAACAATGAAATCGTGTAAAAAAAGATTTTTTTTGTCCGACAAATTTACACGGTTGTTTATAAATAAAACCCGTGTTAAATGGTGGGAAACCTTTTAACACGGTTATGTTTAAGGAATCAAAACACATTGAGCTTTGGAAGAAATCCAAGATACATGGGATCATGTTAAAATCGTACGAAAAAGGTTTTGACTAGTAACCGTGTAAATTAAAATGGGGCGTTTTACACGGTTTTGTTAGTGAATCGTGTAAAAATACAGGGTTGTTTTTACACGGTTTGATCAGTAAACCATGTAACAAGATGCATCGTTTTACACGGTTTCAAAACTATATGATAATGTTAACACACATCTGCTACTGCGGTGTTTTGACACGGTTGTAAAAAAATCATGTAAAAATGTGAATTTCAACGGGTTAAATACGAGCAGGTCGAAACTTGCATATCAAATGTAAGGTTTTTGGTCATAAATTGGCGACTCGAAGACTAGTCGATATCCCAAGAAGTGCATCAACTGATGCGGATTGAGAGATACACTATCAAACTTGTGCACCAAGATTTCTTCAACCGATATACATTTATCGGATAGTCCTCTTAACTATCAGTAGGTCAATGTGAAAATATGCACGCAACAACGTACTCTGACCAAATCTCACCAACCTTGTTCTTAACAAAGACATTCTCTGAAACATCTCGAAAGACATGTTTTTCCTAATATGCTCTTGATGTGACATTTCAAAGGATGATATATAATTGTTTTAGAGGCAAGTTCTTTTCTTTTGTACAATGAAAATGACGCTCCAAAAGGTTCTGAAGTTAACACTGAACTCTTATCCTCAAGTGACAAGTGTCCCTATGCATTTAATGCACATGGTGGTTTAAGGCAGAGTAGTTCTCTCATTCAAAGTTAAGCTTTTCAATAGTTTCCTATATGCAAAAGCAAAAATCGACAGCTATCTCAAAAGGCATCTAATTTCTAGTGCTAGTTGAGTTCTTTTATTCTTAGTGAAAGATTGTTACGATGATTTTAATATTTCCTATTCCGTACCAATCTTATTTTCTGAATGTAATTCTTGATATTGAATCAATAAGAATTAAATTAAGTGAAAAAGTTGTGTTACTGTATTCAATCCCCTTTCTACAATAACTTATTAGGGTTTATCATACTTTTTTCGGGACTAACAACGAGTACAAAACCGTGCATTAATCAACAAATCAGATGAAGATATGCGTTAAAGCTGAATATCAGCATTTAATGCAATGGTGACCGTAAATGGTCACCCTTGACAAATGTTGCAACTCACTCATTTTAACAGGAATTACCTAGAGATAATTTCTAGAAAACCTGACATCAACAGACTATCATAGTATTTTCAGATATAAATGAATACCTTCTTCTCTTACTCTTTCAGATCCTAGCAAATTTGTCACCTACCAGATCGTTTAAGATAAGGTCTTATCTTTCTAGTCATGCCCATCAACATTATCTAGCTTAGAAGTTTATCTCGCTGAAATGCATGCAACTGGTCAACTATAAAGCTTAGTAAGTTCACAGTTTCATTTACGAGTAAACACGTAATCTCATGCACATAGTATCACCGTCAATATATAATCATGCTCCAAATGTTTAATGAACTTCTCAAAAACTACATTGTAAATCACATAAAAACTCACCGTATTATAAGGCTTAGCTGACTTTACTTCCCTTCAAAGAATGACCTACACCATATTAATGATCACACTACAAAACTAAGAGACTTCATTGACGGATTTTTCCGCCAGTAATTACCAACGGATTTGTGGCGGATCACCCGCCAATTGACCATCACCGACGGACTATTGATGGATTTTCCCATCGGTGACCAACCATACTATATTCGACAACGAGATCCGTTGATAATTCACTGATGATGGCTTTTTCTAACGGATTAGCGGTGGATTTTTTCCATCAATAAAGCCTTTTTATTTTGTAGTATCGTTCTACAAAATCAACGTACAAGTTAAAGCTAGGTCAGAAATCCAATCGTAATAACTTTAGTTAACGAGGTCAATTCCTAAAGGGGTGTTTGGAATTGCTTATAAAAATAACTTATTGACTTATTCCGGTGTGGTACCGGTAATAAGCATTTTCGAGTGTTTGGATAAACAACTTATACCGGTGTCAAACCGGTAATAAAAAGTTTTTGAAAAAGTTAAACCCTTCTGACTTATAATAAGTTGATAAGTGTTTTTATAAAAAAAACATAAATTATTTCAAATAAGCAATCTCAAACACCCTCTAAATAAACCGTTTATTTACCTAATTAAAACTATCGTATTCAATTTATAAGTGCTCGAATACTTATAACTCGATCATGACAACATAAATTAATTTATTAAACCACTGTCGTAATTAAAATGATTTGTTAAATATATCCTTATTTTATTAAATAATAAAATAATAATTACCCTTATATAAATTATAACATAAATATACTTAATATATTAATCTATACTATATTATAAAATATTTAGAGTAAAGTTTTAGAAACTATTTGTTATATATTAAGTATCTCTTATTAATACATATTACTTGAAATTCAAAATTACAAATTAATTAAGAATCAGTAAAACTTATTTTTATTTTCTAAAATATCTAAAATTTTAGAAAACTTTATATAACAAACTGACAAACACAAGAAAACCTGACATAAAACAACTAATTTTTATGTTTTTTTAATTAAAGTATATAATCTCATTAGTTTTAATATAAAATAATTTAAATATAGTTACAATTTAAATTAATCGATGTTTGAATTTTAACATAATACTTTATCATTATTTTTAGAGTAAAGTTCACTTTTGGTCCATAATGTTTGTCAATTTCAATGGTTTTTGTCCCTCAACTTTATTTTAACAGATTCGTTCTTCATTTTTGTTGATTCCCAACAGATTTCGTTCCTCCTTCTAACGGTCGTGAACTTTTTTCCTTAAGTCCAATTTAATGAGGGGTTATTTTAGTCATTTTACCTATTTTCTTAATTTTTTTTACAAAGACTATCAAACTTTAGGGACTTGTTACGAAACTAACTCTAACACACACACACACACACATATATATATATATATATATATATGAATATATGATATGCCACGAGTCAAAGCCGCAAACGCTGACCGGATGAAGGCCCAAGATCACTTGTTTACTTCTCAAATATTTATCATTTCTCAAACGAACATTTCCCTATTATATATATTATGAGGTTTATTTTGCAAATCACGTTATTTGTACAAACCTCATTCAACTAATCATAATTTTTTATTTTGTTCATTTTTTTTGTAATTATGAGATGTTGATTAATCATTTTTATTGTGGAGAGTGTTAATCATGGATTTATCATCTATTTTAATTTTAGAGAAATACATGAAACAGTTTCATTAAAATTTCATAACCATATATAAAAAACTTTATCAAAAAAAAGTGTTATATAAAACAATTTCACAAGATTAAACAATTTCATGAAAAAAATTTCATAAGATTAAAACAATGAAATCGACGAATGAGGGTGGTTTGCACGGTTTATACAAATTAGATGGTTTGCATTTGATCATTCATCTAATCATATATATATATATATATAGAGAGAGAGAGAGAGAGAGAACAAGGACCAAATTGTCGGGGACACACACCATTGGCCATTGCCAGCAACCAAATCACAACATCAACCGTCGTGAAATCGTCCCTGTAACCCATGAAAACCACTTGTGGCCCTCGTCGTCCATGTTACAATTGGATTAATCGTCTCTGTTTCAAGGGCTTGGATAATTAATTCTCATCGTCCCTGTTGGAAAGTCTGACCATTGGATAATTACTGCTCATTGATCCGATATCACCATTGGATTCGTTGTTCCTGTTGGAAAATCTCAATGGGAAAAATCACCAGAAATCATCCCTGTTCGTCGTTGTTACGAACCCCATGATGCTCGTTTCTTCAAGTAAGCAAAGAATCGTGCATGTTACTTCACATATCGAAGGAGATGGTCCCTGTGTAAACAATTTCAAATCGTCTCTGTGTAAAAGATGGTCCACACATCATCGTCCATGTTGCTTCCCACATCAAAGGAGATGGGGTCATGATGGTGGGATCGTCCCTTTTTGGCCGACGATGGAGGTCATGATGATCCCTGTGTGTTTCGATGTCCTGTGTAAACGATGGTCAAACTCTAATATATATATATATATATATACACACACACACCAAGAACGGACCTAATTTTTTTTCAAACGGTGGCACCATTTGATTAAGAAAATGACACTAACAACATTCGAACTTGGGTCTGGGTCGAATAAGAGTCTTGCAAA